GTGTTTCCTCCATGCTCGGAGGGTCCTATTCAGGTTGGTCAGCGTCTGCTGGTGGTTGAAACTGAGTTCCCTGTGGAGGCTGTGGTTGTAGTCCTGGCTGCAAAGGCTCTCGTAACGGTCCAAACGTCGTGTTCCGAAGATCAACGAAACCGCGCTGACCATGAGGAATTCCTTGCCACTCACGTTGATCTCCAGGAGTACAATCCTCAATATCATGGATCGTCGACCTCCTCAAGCTATTCGGTCCAGCCAAAATCGGGATACCATTGAATCAACCAATATCCAAATTGATCCTTGCCAATCACTCGAGCTGGCCCTTGCCACTTCCGATGTAAGTCTTGTTTGCCTCCACCTATGCGCCAGTAGTGAACCCACTCACCTCGCTCGAAAGGTCCAGGCTGAGGTCGTGTCTTTGAGAGTACAGCTCGTCGCAGGGCCAAACTTTTAGCTGACTGATGGAAGGCAATCTCGCAAGCTTCCTGTAGTCGCAATCGGTGCCACAAGAGCGATCCTTGAGTAACTTGTCCAGCAACCACGGGATCGGCGTTGATATCTCCAAGAGATGCCGGTAGTGAGGGGTTCTCGCCAAGTACCCATTGCGTTTGGCTGAATCCTTTGCTGTTGGCGAGTCGGTTCGTAGTCTGAGCAATTTGGTATCCGGCAATTCGAGCACTCTCGTCATCTCTGACCTCCAGCTCGCGAAAAACCTTAGTGGCCATCTCTTTGAAGAAACAGATATTGCGTTCAACTTTCCCATGTTGGTGATACTCTTCAGGAGCAATTGGAATACATGGCACTCCAAGATCCTGGCGCATAGTCTGAAACTCTAGGCGAAAAGCTGCATCCTGGTCAATCTCCATCCTCTCCGAGGTAAGCAGATTGCGTTGCCAGCCCTCCGTGAAAGCGATCTTCGCATGTGCTGACGTTGGACTTGGCTGCCGATCTCCACCGTTGATCATCCACTGAAGTGCTGTGAAGTCGGTAGCAAGGTCAAGCATAACCAGGAAAGCGTGCACATTCCCACCAAAGTCTGGCACATACGCAACATCCATGCCCAAACACTGATTAAATCGTATCCACTTCGGTAAGCTTGCAATAGGATGTATTGGCGGTCGCTGTTGGGAATCACATAGCTCACACTTGAAAAGCTTGGCCGTTGAGATCGCTGCTGGTGATCCTCCACCTGTCCGAATGCGTCGGGCAAGCTCTTCACCGCGTAGAGCATGGGAACACTGAATATGCAATTTCTTGATCGCTGCCTGGAGTGCTGCCAGTACTCGATGCCAAACGGTGTGGGTATCCGCACTCGCGCCCATGATGATTCTTGAGTTTGATGTGAAACTTGAGGCAGGGTATGCGTCAACGGTGTCTGGAATTCCCAGGCTAGTCTCGCATCCGAGTAGCTTCTCGAACTCATGTTGTTGCTTGACACCTTCGAGAATCCGCTCAGCCATGTCTGTTGTCCATATTGAAAATTCACGTGACTTGCCACCAAGCCCTTGAATTTGACCATGTCCGTGATCTCGTGAACACCGAGTTTCAAGTGCATATGCCAGCGCCACTGCTGACCTCACGAATCTCGTTGCTTTTTGAAGTAGGTCTCCACGATCATCTCGCAAATCAAAGGCACACTGATCACATCGAACCCAAATCAATGCAGGCGGCAGCTCATCCTTGATGAGGTTCCACACTTGTGGACACAGCGGGTTCTCCAGTAGTACATGACGTCCATGCTCCATTCGATGCCTGACAATTGCGAGCGCAAACTGAACATGCGCGAATGCCTTGGCTTGGCGTCGTCTCTCTTTCGGTAGACAAGAAGTTGTTGATTGCTGACCACGCGTCACAAGGAAACGGCACGATCGTGAGATATGGGTCTTCAGACTCAAGTTCCCTCATCGTCTCTGCTTGCACACTGGGTAGTAGTAGATAATCGCCGGTAGTGCGTAGATCCTTGCACTTTTCTTTTCTCATGCCAAACTCCGTCGCCAGACGAGTAACAGTACATTGACCGCCATAAATCCTCTTGACCATTGTCCCAGGAATATGCAGACGATGGCGATCAACACGTAGAACAATCCACGTAGTTTTCATCCCTTGTGCATGGTCGGTTATCCATGTATCCACTTGTTTCTTCCAGGACTTCGTCATGATGCCGATGTCTGCTTGCATGCTCTTGCTGCTTTGCGTCTGGTTTGATTATTCCTCTTCTGCTGCCCAGACGTCCAGCGTCTTCGTACTGATGGCAGGTGCTTCCCGATGCGTCGGCGTCTTCGGAAAGTCCGTGATATTGACCATCAGGTGATTCTTCTTAGAACGTGTGATCTTCACTGGCGTGTTTGAAATCGCTCTGAAGATCACCTGATTGTGTTTCACACTAATGAGCGTGTCCAGGGCGTCCATCTGGTCGACACTTATGAGTATCGGTGCGTCGGAGTTCGGCAACCTTTCGAAGTTGAGCGTGCAATCTCGTCCTTGAATGCCACTCGGCACTGCCTGAATACTTTCTGCCCTGACTGGGGCAGATGTGTTGATGCCTTTGAAGATCGTCCGGCTGGGCATCTGCAGATCTGCTAGCTCGAAGTTCTCTAGGTGTTGGTCGATAGCTCTGTCACCGCCGACCGGAGTCAGAGCCGCAGTATCCAGGACCACGTAGTCTGGGGGTACCACCTGCTCTGCCACCATCGTGTCGACTAACTCCTCGTTGATGTCAGTGATCGTCCTGATCGGGTCATCGGGCTGGCTCTTGATAGGCACGGTCATGTTGCACTCCTGCTGATGGCCAGCTCCCGATGCTATCATAGCCGCTGCCAAACCAGTGCGTGCCAGAAATCCTCCAGCGCGTCCTCGTCCAGTTCCTTGTCCTGATCCTTCCGGCTTCTGGTTGGTTGCCTTCCTTGTCTTGCTGCACTCTGGGTCGCCAGCCCAGTGTCCTACTTCATGGCATGCACTGCACTTACTCTGTTTCTGGGAGGCGCCGAGCTTGTCTTGAAGCTCCTTGGTGTCGAAACTGATCTTGCCATCGAAGTCGATGTAGGTCTTGCCTTATCTAAAACCTCGGTTCATCTTGCCATCTTTGATGAATTGCCGCTGCCGGCTGTAGTTCGATGAGCTCGGTCCTCCTTTGCTACGTCCACGTCCTTTCGCCGCGACTGCTCCAACTACCTGTTGAGCCTCTGCCGCAAACGTCTGTATTTCTTCCTCCGCTAGGTCTGCGACGTCCACCACTGCAAAAGCCGTCTCGAGCTCCTCCACTTCCGCCGACAAAATAGCCATCTCATTGTCGTCATCCTCGTAGGTGTCTTCTCCGTGATCCTCCTCGGCGTCGTCTTCCTCGATCTCCTCCTCTGGATCCGCGCCGAAAGCTGCGTTCCATCTGAACCGTCGTCCTCCGCCATCACGCTTGTGATCTCGGCCACCTCGAGCGTCGATGCTGTCGAGCTGAATCTCGAGGCTGTCGCATATCGCATCCCAGTCTTACTCATTCTGAGCCTGGCCCAGGAACGTCTTGTGCTGAGCCTCCGTAATACCACACATGTCTAGTAAGAAAAACGTTCTGAGATCCTCCGACACCTGCGTGTGGCCGTCTGTGAGGTCTCTCAGCTTCTCGTACGCGTCCGCCCGCCGTTGGATGAAGTCCTCTATCGGCACTCCCGGCTTCCGGTGTCCACGTCGAAAGTAAGCTAGAAACGCTTCGTGCTTCTGCAGCGGGGCCATTGTCTCCACATGTGAGCGCACACACCTGATGAGGATGTCGAGTCCTTGGGCCAACAGCTGCCTCTTTCTCCGCCGGGGCGCTCCCTTTTTCGAGACTGCTCGGCCAGCGCCGTGACGCTGATCTTCTCGTCCCTGTGGCATAGCGTCCACGCTCGCCCGCTGCGGCCATTCTTGACTTTGGCGACGAAGCCCTTCTTCTTGTCCAGATTCTCCATGCCCAGGAATCCTAACCGTACTCTCTCATCCCATTATTCCGCTGCTGCTGCTGCATCGCCGTCAGAACACGGAATGCCGTCTTTATCCAACCATACGTGTGATTTTGGATCTCGATTAGTAGCCATCGTGAAATCTGAATTGCTCTTAATGAAATCTGAACTGCTCTCGAGGAAACTGCTCTCGAGGAAATCCGAATTGCTCTCGAGGAAATCGTACTGCTGCGTAGACTCGAAATCAGGCAACTCGTAGTCGCCACACACACACGATCACAGGATAAATTCTCACCCCAACAACAGTACTTGCCTGTCCGCAAAGACCATGGTTTAGAAACAACCATGAAATAGACGAACCAACTCAGCATAGGCCGTCCTTCGTTGACTGCTCCGCTACCAGTGTCAATGATATGGAGATTGACCAGTCGTATTCTCCTTCCGCACGTAAGCTCCGCGGAATCGAGCAATATAGATGAGGTCGAAGACCTCGCACACTCAGCTGATGAAATCTGGGAATCGCCGCAAGGACAAACATCTGATAACGTGTTATCGCTGATAGCTCAAAAGGGGATCCCCTGAAATCATTGAGAGAAGTGGCCACAACATCTACCATTCTGTCTCTTCTCTCCAACTGCTTATCTACTGCGTTTCTAGCTGCACAGATACGGGCAAAACACTCCCATCCCCATCTTCACGCAAGGGGCGGAGGCCGGGGCCCCCCCTCCCCCGAGCGGAGGGCGGTTCCCCCTCCCCCTCCCCCCCGCGCAGTGGCAGGTGGTGCCAGCCCCCCCTCCCCCCATCCCCTCGCGCAGGGGTGGGGGGGGGGCGGGCGAGGGGCAGAGACCCCCACGTTGAGATGCCCCGCGATGTGGACCCCCAGAGGGCTCGGCCCCTCGCCCGGGGACGCGCTCCGTCAGGCCCGGCAAGCCCTCCCCCCCCCCCCCCCGAGGCTGAGGAGTTTGCCCAAACATTTGGCGCCGTGATTTTGTTTCGTTTCACGACGCGACGCGTGTCGGCCTGGGGGGAGGGGCCAGCTGCGTGGGAGCGAGCGTGCGCTTCTGGCCGCCCTCCCAGGAGAGGTCCGCCCCTCGAGCTTCCGGCCCCGCCTCCGCAGAGCCGGCCGCCCCGAGCGGGGACGCGGCGGAGAAGCCCGCGGCGCAGGCGGCGCAGATGGCAACCCTTTCAAATATTGCATGCGGTCGGGAACTTTGGCCTGGCGTGTCGCGCCGCCGGTCCTGGCCCACCACGCTTCGGCGCGACACGCTATCCACACATCCCGGTCCCCAGGCGTCCGCGTCCCGAGCTCTGCTCGGCCTCCCGCCCCGCACAGCGGGGCGACAGGCTGTCCGCTTGCAGGGCATAGCGTGTCGCTGGGGGCGCCGCCGAAACACGCTGAGCAAAAGTTCTCGACCTTAGAACCCAGACTTCCTCGCGTCTTGAAGCAAAAGCGACGGGAGGTTGGGGAATTCGTTCTGCGTCTGGCGGCCCTTATCGTGGGCCCTTGTACCGTAAAAAAATGCTCAGGATGAGGAATTGAATGTGCCTTCGTGGAAAGGCACGACGTCGGAGGTATGAGACTCTGCAGGGGACCTCGTCTGTCCAAACAATTGCCTGCATCCCTCCGCGTCCACATGGCGGGTTCCTAAAACCCTGAACCAAAAAGCCTTGCCATCTCTCAGGAGGCCGATTTTTACTTCCGATGCCTTTCCGCCGGCTTCCCACGGCGGACCCGCCGCCATTTTATTTCCGCCGGTTTCCGCAGACCTTCCGCCGCTTTCCGCCGAGGAAGAGGTACCAACTCCTTCGGCCCTCCAAAGCGAGGACCTTTCTGGAAGCCGCCACGTGGCCTCGGATGGCCCCATAACGGCTACTTCCGATATTCTCGGGTAGCCCCGGAATTGCTGCAGATCGCTTCGGATAGTTTTGGATGGCCTCGGATATGGTCGAATGGTTGGCCGGGGGGTCAGAGAAGGCTCACCCCTTATGTATCCATATATATATATACACAAGCGCATATGTATGTACATATACATTATATATAAATATGTTATACACGAATATGACAGTTCAACATAAGCAAACACACCTCCTCCTCCTCCTCCTCCTCCTCCTCCTCCTCCTCCTCCTCCTCCTCCTCCTCCTCCTCCTCCTCCCCCTCCTCCTCCTCCCTTCCTCCTCCTCCTTCTCCTTCTCCTCCTCCTCCTTCTCTTCTTCATTCCCGCAGAAGGTGGGGCATGGGGACAATGGCAACCACATCGCCGAGGTCTCTCACCCATGCGCCGTGCAGGAGCCAGCCGAAGCTGGCGACAAGGACGCCATCCATCAGGCCGCGATCCCCAACACGACCGATGCGGTTGTGCCCAGAGAAGGCCGACGAAGAAGAAGAAAAACTACATAAACATACAATTTCGGAGGTCCAGGCTTGGCGCCGTGCCCCCCTGGCGGGAGGCTCTGGCCTGGCGCGCTCCGCGCGCGAGAGAGGGAGGCCCAGCGCCGATCCGAGAGATCCGCGCGGAGTTTCGACGGTTTGTGTGGTTATGCCGTGCTTCTTCTTCTTCTTCTTCGCAAGGGTCGGCCGCTCCGCAGGTGCCAGAGCAGAGCCGAACCCAGAGATGGAGTCTTCACATGTCGGACAGCCTGAGCCCACAAACGTTGCACGGGCTGGCGATCCAGTTCTTCTTGAAGGTCAAGCATTTTTTGGAGCTTGCACGGTCGCACTACGGGCCTAGGTCTGTCAAGGGTCGCAGGGCTACTAGCTTGCAGTTGTTCGTGAACAGCTTCTACTTTCGGGCGGTTGTGTCAGCGGCCATACTGTCAAGCGGCATTTGCATCGGCTTCCAGGTGGACAGTCAGCTGAAAAATCTGTACAAGGGGCATGTTGATGAGGGGGAATGGAAAGAGACCGAGATATTTTTCGCCGTGTTCTTTTCTATTGAGTTGATACTCCGCCTAGTTGCGGAGCGATGGTCGTTCATCTTCGGCGAGAATTGGGCTTGGAACTTGTTCGACTCTTGTCTCGTAACAGAAGCGATGGTTGACCTAGCCTTGAGAAATTCGGCAGTTCCCGACTTTTCCTTCGCGCGAATTCTGCGGCTTGTGCGGTTCACTCGCGTACTTCGCATATTGCGTGCTATGCGTTCGTTCCAGACACTACGAGTGATGGTATTCTCCATCTTGAGCTCCATGACCTCACTGCTTTGGGTGTTCGCGCTGATCTTCTTCATGATATACTTCTTCGCAGTGTTCTTTGCGAGCGGAATCGCCGAATGGTTCGTCATCTAGTGGCCTTCGGCCCATCCCGTCACCATGGCTGGGTCGTGGACAAGAGGCTTGTTGGAGGCGTTATCGGAAGGATCGTGTGGTGGTGCCTCTGGGGGAGAGCGCGGGCCGACTTGGGCCTTTTCTGCGGCCACTGTCAGGACCACTTCGGGCTTCCATTAGCACTTCTGGGGCCCTCTTTGATTCATGTGGGACCGAAGCGGTGGGGACGCCAAGTTCTGTGACAACAGGTATTGATGTGTTTCGTTGATTATGGAACCTCTCGGTGGCCATCCTGTTACACCAGAAGTGTGGAGTTCCAGCTTCATGCGAGAAATCACAAGTACGCCCCGAAGCGCCCAAAAGCTCTGCTTGTAGGGAGTCCGGATCCCTACAAGAGCATTTGCTGTAGATGTATGTGTATGTGTACACATAGATCGATATGTACCTCTCTCTCTTTTTCTCTCTCTCGCTCTCTCTCTCTCTCTCTCTTTCTTTTTTTGTCTCTCTCTCTCTCTCTTTCTCTCTCTCTCTCTCTCTCTCTCTTTCTCTCTCTCTCTCTCTCTCTCTCTCTCTCTCTATATATATATAGAGAGAGAGAGAGAAAGAACAAAAAAATAGGAAAACAAAACAAACTGACAGTCGCCGTATTATTGAATCGCTTCGCTCATTCCGCCAGCCCATTTCGCATGACTGAGCCGCGCATATCCGCCACCGCGCTTGTGGAAGACGCGTAGCTGGACAGCAGCGGGGCGAGAGTGGCAAGATGGCCCGAGAGACCTCTGCAGAAGTTCGAGATTTGCCGGGGCTGTCCAGGAGGGCCGAAAAGTTTCGAAGGGGATCCTGCCACCGTGCCTTGGTAGAAGGTTAGAGTCCTCCTGGGTACGCTCGGGGTCGCTTCCGCATAGGACTGAATGTATTCTCGCTTATGGGGGCTTTCTCGGGAGGCTTCTTGGTGGCCGCTAGGGGAGTCTTGACAGCGTCGTGGCCCGTGTGGAAGCCTGTTGCCTATGGGGGCTCTTTTGGGAGGCCTCTTGGTGGCCTCGTGGGGACTCGTAGACGCGTCGGGTCGTTGGCATTTGCTTGCGTGCTGGAGGGGGCATTTGGGGAGCCTCTTGGGGCCGCTGGGGGGCCTCTTCAGCGTCGCTTGGGGGCCTCCTGAGGGCCTCCTGGGGGCTTTTGGGGCCTCTAAGGGGCCTCTTGAGGCCTCCTGGGGGCTTCTTGAGGCCGAGGGCTCGAAGTTTTGTTTTGTGTTCCCCCTTTGGGGCATCGCTTGGGGCCCTCTTGGGCCCCTCTGGGGCCGTCTTGGATGCCTCTGGGGCCGTCTTGAAGCCCTTTTGGGCCATCTTGGGGCCTTCTTGGGAGCTTCTTGGACCCTCTTGGGGCGATCTTGGGGGCCTCTTGGGCCGTCTTGGGGCGTCGGGAAGCCGAAAAGATGGACACGCCAAAATCTGCCCAAAACCTAATGAAAAGTAATGAATTTTGCCTCTTGGGGCCCTCTGGGGAGTGCTCTTGGAGGCCTCTTGGGGCGTCTGGGGGCCATCTTGGGCGTCTTGGAACGATCGTGTGGCATCTCGGAGCACTCTTGAACCATCTTGGAGGGCTCTTGGCGGCCTCGTGGCCCTTCTTGGGGCTCTCTGGAGGGCCACGGGGGCGGCGCCCAGGAGGAAAACCATCTCTGACCCGAGTCTGCCGGGGATCGCCCGGGGTACCTTTCGTCCAGGGACCCCCAGGGGCCGCCCCGCGCGCGCGAAGTAGAAGTATTATTTAGCAGTTACCGGAGATCTTAGCACGCCTCTGGCCCGTCGGGCCGGCGAATTGCAGTGTCCTGATTGGGCCCTTTTCGGGGTCTTTTGAGGCCGTTTTCAGGCTGTCTTGGCGCCTCCTGGGCTGTCTTGGGGCTCTCTGGGGCCATCTTCGACCCTCAGGGCAATCTTGGGATCCCCTTGGGGCTGTTTTGGGGCAGTTTGGGGCCCAGTTGGGCTGTCTTGGGGCTCTCTTGGCCCGTCTGGAACCCCTCCGGGTGACCTCTTGGAGCGTCTTGGGGCCGTCTTGGGCCCCTCTTGGGCCGTCCTGGGCTCGTCCAGGGGCCCTCTTGGCCGCTTATTGGGCCATCTTGGATCGATCTCGGGGGCCTCTTCGGCCGTCTCGGGCACAAAATTGTACAGAAACCGAAACCAAACCTGAAACAAACGCCTCTCGGGGGCGTCTTGGAAGTCTTTGGGCCATCTGGGGAGCCCGTTGGGCCGTCGAGTGGCCATCTTGGGCCCAGCTTGGGCCAGCTTGGCCCATCGTGACCCGCCTGTGGGCGCTCGTCGGGCCCCGTTTGAGGCCTCCCGGGGCCCTCCAGAGCCATGCTGGGGCCATCTGAGGCCGTCTTGGGCCCTCCTGGGCCGTGGCATCGCTCGGACGTGCGCACGTTTTCTCAACAAGAACCATCGAGGACCATCCTGGACCATCGAGGAAAAAAAAGAAACAAAAAAACAAAAAAAAAAAAAAAAAAAAAAAAAAAAAAAAAAAAAAAAAAAAAAAAAAAAAAAAAACGAAACCGAAAAATGCACGGGAAATGGACGTCCGAGAGACGGCAAGTGGGGCGCTCCGGAATCAGGCTCGATGGACGGACCGGGAGTTGTGCCAGATCAGCTTTCTATGGATAGGGGAACCGATTGAAGTGGCACAGCCATACACGCACTGGCCCAGCCGAATGCGGCCACCCCGCCACCGCGCCAGCGCAGCACGAAGGAGGCTGAGCCAAAGATCCACAGCAGTTCAGCGCGCGGCGTGCACTCGAGTGTCACAGGGTCAGACCCCAACGGATGCTGTGACGGGCCAGACCCCACGGGATAAGCTTCTTAGGAGCTCTTATATTTACGAACCTTATTATAATCTTATGCCTCTACGAAGATATCTAGCTGCTTCTGCCTCTACGGTACTTCTTAGAAGCTTCCTAATTGGCCCCCGGGATGTTCAGCTCGCGCTTCCGAATGGCTTCGGGTACCTCGGGAATCATCCGGATTATTGTGCTTCTTTCGGAATGCTGAGAGGGTTCGCATGGTTTCATCCGCATTCCTCTGGTTCCCTTTGGTTTCCCCGCGATTTCCATGGTTTCTACAGGACCCCCCACCCCAAGACGGCCCCGACAGCCTCCAGACGGCCAAAGAAGGCCCCACGACAGCCCAAGATGGCCCGAAGATTGCCCAAGAGAGCCCCTGGAGGCCTCCGACAAAGCCCAGGAGGGCCTCCCCGAAGAGCCTTGAGACAGCACCTTTCGTAATGCAACCACCATCGAGTGAGTTTCCGATCGATTATTGCCCAAGCGTGCGCTAGGTGCCCAAACGCAATTTCGATGCGTCTCTACATGTTCCTCATCGCACTTACAGTATCCTCATCACTACCCTCCTCATCCATCCTCCTCCCCCACTACTCCTGCTCCTCATATTCTAGACGCTTCGCGTATCCCGACCAGCCCATCCAGAAACGATGCCCGGGCGAGTTGCCTTGATGAGGGAATGCGTCGCAGCATGCAGGGTTACTATTCGTATCTATGTGTATATACATACATACACATGTGTATATCTATAACAAAACTGCATTGGCGTGTCGCGCCATGCACCTTGTTCAGGACGTTTCCCCGGCAAAGCAATAAATCATGGTTTGCTTCAGCAGGGGGACCTCGAGGCCTGGACGGGCGATCGGTTATTTTTTCTGATGTCCCTGGTGTTTGATGACACCGCGTTCGCCGGATGCGCTTTCACGCTTGTGTGCAGGAGTGGGGACGGAATGATGATTTTTCACGCGCGAAGGTGCTAGCAAACGACGAAGCATCAAACTGTTGCGATGGCACCTGTCCATGGAAGGGGAACGGGAAGGGAGCAGGGATGATGGGGGGGGGCTGACGAGGCGGAAGGGGGGGAGGAAGGGGGCAGAAACGAGGAGAAGGTCCAGAGGAAGTTGCGGGCGAATTGGTCTGGCCATCGGATGCCACGACCGTGGAGGTCGACAAAGAAAGCTGAGGGGGAAAGGGAGAAAGAGAGAGAGAGAGAGGGTGATAGAGGTAAGGGAAAGACAGGCGGGTTGGCGTGAGTGCAACGAGCGCACGAATAACGCCGCCTGGACGTTTTCGGGGCTCTTTGGGGCCGTCCTGGGACCCCCTTGGGCCGTCCAGGGGCCCTGTTGGGCCGTCTCGAAGAGCTGGGGTCCTCCAGAGGTCTTATGAAGCCATCTAAGGCCCTCTTGGGGGCCTCCAGTGGCCTTTGGGGGGGGCTGCCGTTGCTTTCGTGGGTTTCTTTTGGGAGCCTTCTGGGTGCATTTTGGGCTTCTGGTGGACAGTCTCGCGGCTCCCTGGGGCAGCCTTGGGGCCGTCTTGGGCCATCTTCAAACCTGTTGGGGGGCCTATTGGGGCGATATCGGAGGCCCATCGGGCCGTCTTGGTTGGACGCTGCGAAGACCCTAAAAGTTGATACGCTAAACATATTATCCAAATAGGCTTGCCTTACGAGGAGTTCTAATTCAAACCCTACAAATTGGTCCGCTGCCCCCCCCTAATTCCCATGCCCCCTAATTCCTATGCCTATGCCTATGCCTATGCCTATGGCCGAGCCTGACGAATTCGAGAAAGCCAACGAACCAATGAAGGACGTGTTCCAAGCGATCTGGCACGACAACGTGCCAGGGGCAAGCCAGCGTGCAGGGGAAACGCCCAGACAGTACAGGGCCCGTTTCCGCGAGGCGTTCCGCACGTGGGCAAAATCAATTTTATGCCGACCAGCAGGTGCCCACCAACCTGTTGAAGTTCGGATTCGGCGGCGCGGACACGCCCGCCAAAGCTCTCGGACGGGCCATACACACGCAGAACGACCACGCCGAGCAAAACCAGAAAAACAATACGGAGAAAAGGGAAATTGAGCGCGACGAATTCACCGCGCGAAGGATCCGGCGTGCACTGAGTTCCCGCAACATTCCCGAAGAAGACCAGACCCCACAGAAAAAATGCTTGCTGCAGCGGATGCACGCCGGAGAACTAC